TGAGTCACGGCACAAAAAAGAGATACAGTTCATTTTTATGTAAAATGAGGAGAAAAAGTACATCAAGTTTTTTTTCGATGATAACCTATCAATGAGGCTTTGGAGCAATTTCAAAAAGAGCTTTTTTTTGTTAATTATGTTGCATTGTGATATTGAATCTTTTTCGTAAATTCATTGAATAAATTCCCAGCAAGATTAAAAGTATAATTTTTTGTAGAGGTCTAGGATTCTCAAGCAGTAATGAATGAGACATGAGCGGGATGCCTAAGAGGAAGCTACTGACTAGCACCTAAGCCTCTCAGATTAATCCATTAATGGAAATGCAAAGCCAGGTGTTCGCTCTAACCCTGATCTCTGTTTTGCCCAGATGAGTTGGGGATGTGCTTTTAAGGGAAATTAAATTATTCCAAATGAAAAATGGTCTTTGTTTTTATAAGAATTTTTAAGTTATATAACTAAAGCTTAGTCAAGCGTAATGGCAACCTGTTCTTTTTTGAAATACGACGGCTCAGATTTGTTGCCTGGGTTACTGTGCCATTGCCTATCTGGCAGGAAGCCAAAGGTTGGGCTCTGAGAAAGGCTTTTTTTTGCAGTTGGATGATTAATCTAGCAAAACAAGGAGGTACAGCGATGGTTTATGCTTCCCAGTATAGGCCTCCGGAAGAATCCGAGAAAAAAATGCAATTTTCGCTCGTTTAAATCTGATTTTGTAAAAATGTATGTGAACGGAATGAAAATTCAATTTTTCTTCACATTTCTTATACTTATCGAAATTTCCAACTGCATAATAATGAACTTTGCGTTTATGAGAACGAAACTTTAGCAAAATCGAAGCCTTACATTAATTTATCATAATTTATTCGTATATTTAGAGATACAAAAATTCTTAGATCCTCAAACGCGGGCGCTTAAAATATCCAACAAATCTTGCAAGCTTATTTCTGAGAAGTAGTGAATTTTTCGGAGCTTTTTTTCATAAAATATCATGACCTGCCGGTTAAATTTGTCAGACGAAAAGCTATAAAAGGTATTTTACAGCGATGCAGTAGGAAAGAATAGAGATATTCAAATAATTTCAACATCGCAAATGAATTCTAATTGTGACAGAAATTTGTTTAACAGGTCTCTTACGCAAGCAATAATTATAGTAATTTCGATGAAGCACCAAATTTTCCAAAAAGGAAAAATTACTGGATGTCGTCAGCACAAAGGCTTTGCAATTTCCGCTTCAAAATGCATAAAATGTCAAGCATGGTTGACGACAGCAACGAATGAATTTGCGTCGAAAATTCCTGCCACGATTAATTGGGTGCTAGCGGCTTTCGATGTTTTTCCAAGCCCAAGGGGCAATTGCACATGTGAAAACGACCACGGCTGGTCAGCTGAAGGACGTAACTAATCCATCAAATGGCCCTTTAATTAGGTGAGGAAGAGCACGCTGTGAGAAGAAGCTAGATGTATGGGACAATGGTTATTTATGGAGTGTGAATGTAGCAAGTATTTTCACGGCTCTAAGCTAGTTGGAATAAAGGATCCCGAGCGGATAAAACGATAAACAGAAGCCGGGAGCCTCTAGGGGCTTGGCTTGTAAAGAAACCTGTAATGCTTGAGTCGGCTCAATGAGCACAAATAAATGCGTGTTCCCACGACGAACAGATTCGCCAAGCCAAAATATGGTATGTTGAATTTTTGATGGGGTTTGAGATTGATCGTACGAATATTCATGACTTGAGCTGTGGGAAAAAGTGGGGAAAAGCAATTTATGATCGTTCACAGAGTGTTCTAAGATTCAGGAAGTTGCTACATAAGCACATATGGGCACTTCACACCTCCTACCAGATGTGGATCTAGTTTAGTAGTGGAAGTGTGGACAGAACAACTTGTTCTCTAAGAGCATAAAATAAACACACAGACGGATCGCACAGCCCTCGAAATAGCACGATGCGCTCCCCGCTTCCCCCTCTACGGGGCCCCATATGGACAAATCGAGGCCAATGAAGTGTCGCGGAGGAGAAGGAGGTGCTTGAAGTGCGAAATCTAGGCAAGACTTCGAAGCGAAAAACCCCCTTTCAAGCGTTATATGGGGCACAGCTGATACAAGAAAACGTATCTGGCTAGTCGTGGATTTCAAGGATAGTCGAGATGTTCCAAATAAGGCTTTATAAGTAGGGACTAATGGGATCGTGGCCTATAAAAGTGGTTCTAAAGTTTTGGTTGAAACACATGAATTGCAAGAGACACTATATTTTGGACAACACTTACAGCTCTCCTTACAAAGAAATATTTTATTTTCACTTTTTTATAAATAAAGTTGAGGTGCACCAGAAAAGGAAAAAAAACCAGAAATAAATTCCAAACAACGCACGAGACCATTCCCCAAAAGGTAAAATTAAGTATTGAGGGACATCGAGAAAACAGCTGTTACCTACAACTATTGGCTTTTGGTTGGATGAAAAGATCATGAAATTTTGCAGATTTTATTTCTAACATGAACTGCTTTTGTAGTGCTAGTAGCAGAGTTCTCCGAAATTGAGATTTCTGACAAGGGACATTTGTGAGGTAAAATTTGGTCCTGAATAAAACTGGCCCCCTGATACCCTACTCAGCGTCCATACCGTAATCTTACAGTACAAGAACATGATGACTATGGAAATATTGATTTTGTGATCACAAGGAGGGAGTGATCTGCTCATGACAGCATTTTACTGTAACAAATTTCTTTGATCCTTGTGAGTACCAGGTGATGATTGTCAAGCAATTGTAATCATGTTATATAAGAATCCGACCGTATAATCAATCGATAATCGATTAGTTCTGCACACAGTACAACAGCAAATTACTTTCAACTATAGGTTAGCGTGAACTGACAAAAAAACATTTACGATCAGATGATGATTCTTGTATGGAAGCAGGAACATTAAAAAAGAGATACTATTTGGATCAGAAGCAAAAGGAATTCCAGAAATGTGGACTAATTTTTGATCTACAATTATACAAATATTTACATAGTGCTCGAAGAAACCAGCTATTCATAAGTTCTTAGATGCTTGGAATTTCGGTCACAATGCCCTTGAAATTTCTTTCTGCCTATACGATTCCACTCGAGATTCTTCCAAAACCTTTAAGGCATTCAAACACATGCACGCAATCATTGTATGATTGCCGGTTGCAGCTCTAGAGAGAAAGATTGCCATTAGAATGCTAAAAATGAGTGCTTTTGTTTGTTGATGACATCAAAAAAGACACTTTATATTTTGAATTGCACCACATAGGGAGGACAAAGCCGGATCCTGATTAGTGTAGCCAAACTAGAAGAGAAGAATAGAGTTGGAAAGAATAAAGCTGAATTGTTGGTGAAGGGTGGTTAAGAATCTGGAAATAATCGAATAATAGCTGATTCAAAAAAGTAAGTAGAGAATAAAAGATATAAATTTAACGTTATATCAAAATTTTGTGATATGCAATTTGACAAATTCAAAGAAAGTTAATCTAGAAAAAATGGAACCCGCAAAACATTGTTGCTACAGTAAAAACATTGATTTGAGGCTTTAAAAATTGTTGAAAGGCTAAAAATAAGAGCAACATTTCATTTCGTAAATAGATAAAAGAGAAAGTAGGATCAATAAGATGTGTATGAGTGAGGGCTAGTAGTACTTATACAGTAAAATTTCTCCTGTTTTGAGAGGCAGTCAAATTCTTCAAATATGTAAAAAATGTTGCTTAAGATTTTATGAATATGCAGTACTTGCAATCAGATTACAACTAATTTTAGGAAAATTCATACGATTTTTGGATTTATTCGCACTCTCTTGAAGCCAAAACCCTACCACTAAATTACTATTGCTCAAAAATGCAAAAATTCACTAGAAGCTCGCGGAAAATTTCGTCAATTTCGTCGATTGGATACTACGGTTATGTCGGAAAATCACGCGAATCACGCAAATTACGCAGCAACATGACTTGCTTCAGAATGCAAGAATCGAAGAGAATCCGAAAGGATCATTCTGCTGAGCTCATAAAAGCAAATCTGTCAAAGCCTTGGCCATATCTAGCGCGATTTCAGTCGCTAACGATTTGGCAATGCTCCAATTGTTTGTAGCTCATTGTAATCGCATTCTGGGCACATGAGATTTTATCAACTCACAAAATTGTGCACACCATATAAGTAAAATCTTCGAGGAATGGGTTTGAAAACATCTGGTCGCAAATCGCTTGGCGACTGAAATCGCGCGAGGTATGGCCAAGGCATAGACTGTACTACAGTACTGCAGTACTACTCCATTTACAGTAGTGGCATTGATCCAAATACAAGCAATGAGGGCTCAACAAGATTTTTTAGTGCGAAATAGTAGTCCAAGCCAACAGTAGAAGGTCTATGAGATTAAACGAAGAAAAATAGGAGGAAAAACAAGAGGGGTAGGCAAAAATACAAGAATCCTAAAGGGTAAAAATGGACATAACTTGACAACAAAAACTCCAATTTCAAGGCAAACTGCTCTCCCAAGACCCCATATCGCCCAAACCGTAAAATAACCTTTATCAACAGCCATAAAGCCGTAAAGTGGTCAGTACGATCGGGGTATTGCTCATAAACAGCGACATTTGTGATGATCACAGAGATGATTAAGGGAGATATCGCGTCTCGGAAGGTTGGGCGCGACATTCGCGCGACGTGCGCCCCACGAACACAAATATAGCGCGATGGTTACCGCGAAATAGCATGGAGAATGAGGAGATGCAGAGTTGGCAACGGAAGAAAAGTACGCAAGATTGTGAGACGTAGATTTGCGTAGCAGCTGCCAATCAGTGGTCAATTCAAACAAATACAGAACGGACACCTTTGACGATGATGAAGTGGGTGGGAGACATGTAGGAACTGCCCTATATGAAAAAAAAAACCATTATGAGAGAAATTTCTGAGAAGTAAGTTTGCCAAAAAATTCTTTTTACATTCCTGAAGCTAAATGGCAATCAAAAAACATTGATCACACCTAATCGACCTGTCCTCGGCCAAAGGTTTCCTAGATCTCGAGAGGGTACCGTCACTAGAATATCCATTCAACGGTGGAGTACTGAGCAGGATCGAATCCTCTCCAGGCATAATTCGACGTGCTGTCCGTGATTGCACACTAAAAAGAAGATAATAGCAAAATCAGAAGACAGATCTTTTCAAGACCGTATTTTCATAAAGGCTGAGCAAAAGTATTTTTCTTATTGACTAGTGAACCAGTAATCTAAAAGTGCTATTTGGAAGAGCGTTCGCTTCGGGACCCGCCGCGGTTCCCCGTTATTGGAAGATTTTTGAATTGAGCTAACGATTCTTTATATATCAGACATAGATATATGAGTAAGACTTTTCTTTCAGAAGTCTTGTTCATATCAATAAAATACTTCGCCTTTTCTATCAAAAGCAAATTTTTCACAAACAATGAGAAAATTGCCTTCGAAAAAAAGCTGAATATTATGTAGAAGTAATTCTAAGCACCGCATTCAACCGCATCATTTTATTCATTTAATATCTAAAAATGGCTAAAGAACGAACAAAACGTTGAAACGATAAAATTTTATAGAAGACATTTATGGTGTTATCATTTCATCCCCAGGTTTTACAATCAAAAATTAATATTTTGAGAATTTTGTAATTTGGTAATTTTATGTTTAGCGTAAAAGCAAAGGGGCTAGACCCAAACGTCGTACCAATTTTTTCACCTTAAACTTATTTTCATTCCATTTTTCGTTTTTTTAAAAATATTTTCGCATTCAATAAGCTAAGCGATTGCAAACAAACAAAATCATAGGTTAAGACAACTCAGCAACGAAAGACTATTTTTTTTCGAATTTTAAGAAGATTTCCACGTTTCGAAACGCTCTCGCAGTTTCTGTGTGTCCATTAATCTTCGTAGCGCTGAGATTGATCCCGATTGCGTGTGCGAATGTCAATAAACGTTGTTATGATGGGAAACGATTGCTGTATGGGAAATTTTACGAGCGTTCAGTGTACTTTCCAAAGGCATTCTGACAGCAAATATGGGAAAATAATGGAAATTGATATTTGACAGGAAATTAGCACAAAATAAATCCCGGGAGTAAATCAATATGGCTAAAGGTGAAAGAGTGCGGTTACGGTAGTAGGAACCCACGTCCAATGAAGTGAGTTGTATAACTCAGCTTACTTTTAATTCTGACAGATAAATGGATCATCGGTTGCTTTTTGCACTTTGAAAAGATGATGCCTACCTTGTTATTTATTACTTAGCCTTAACTGAGTGAAAATTTTGAAAATCAAAACGTAATCTACTCTCAAAAATAATCTCAAATTTTGGACCATGTTATAGAGCAAACAGATTCACGGCACATATTGGAGCACACTGACGGCTCTTCGTGACTGTAGGATTACAGTTAAAACTGCTGGGAGGGATTTGTGTCAATGCAGCCAGAAAAGAAAATTTTGAAAGAGCTAAAAAATCTTTTGCTAAGTTAAATCGGTTTGCTGATGTAGAACAGTGCATTTAGCTGTAACTCATTATTTGAATTTCACGCTAGGTATTGGTAACGGTGCTTTTCCGATAATCATCAAAAATCTAATCAAATTGTCTAAAATGCTATAAACTCGTGCAAAGTAATTTCATAATCAGGTAAGAGAAATCCTTTCAGTGGAAGTTCCCAAATGTTTTGGAAATTTCCTGGTAACTGCTTCACAGTGGCCGTTTTGCTAAAAGTTGCTTATAGTTACCGTAATCGTATAGTAAGGAAGAGCAATAGTTCCATATCATAAACGCAATTTAAAATTAGAGTTTTAAGACAGAACGGAGTTGAAATTTGGCGAGAAATGCAGAGATAATTGGGTACATCTTCAGCTCATTTAACACCTACTTTCCCACAAGCACCCCATATACAATCTCTCTGAAACAGAAAAATTTCAAAAATTTTTGCGCAACCAATTCGAATCACTTGCAAGCGAATAATGGATGAACTGTGAGTAAACAAATAAAAATGCTGAAAAAATTATTGGGAGATGCTAGCAAGATGTAATACCTAATAACCTCAGAAAAACTGCTAAAAAAATTTGTTTTTATCAAAATATTGTGATAAAATATATCAATAAAGTATTGATGTCCCATCCAAAAATAAAAGATGAATTCCGAGCGGTAAATTTTGAGCAGAACTTCATAGTAGATCAAAGACGAGAAACCAAAAAGGTGTTCCAATGAAAAACTTTTTAATGGAAAATCAATGGAAAATTTTCTGAGAAACAATTTCCATTCCGGTTTTGTAGAAGTAGATACGTCGTGAAATAAAATGATTTTACCACATGTAAAAGTCTTCGAAAAATCATGAAAATTTTATTCTTGTCTTTTCAAGAAGTGATGAGCAACTCGATATTGTTTTTAGGACAAAAAGCAAAGCGAGTATCGTTTTTAAGGCCGAAAAGACACAAAAATTGTGAAGTTTTATAGTCGAGGTTTCGTTTTCGAGGGTTTTTTACGTTTAGGGTTTAGGGTCAAGGGGGGCTTCGTAAAATTTCGCGTTAAGTGGACTGCGTTTTTTGCATTTTCCAAAAGCCACCTCGCTGAGCCTTGGTGTTGATCAAAGTTATTGATAAATAACAAACTTCAAATCATTTTTAAAAATCAAAAATGACCTCAGTTGAATTTTGGAAGCTGACCTCATCACTCTCGACGAGACATCCGGAGACGCAGTGGTCGGCGTGAACGTCCTGGACGAATCACACGATGGCACACCGCTGAACGTCGAGCGCAGAAACGACGTTTTACTGTGAGATCTGCAAAGAATTAGTCATCTCGGGGCGACAAACACGCGGGGGGGGGGAGGGAGACGGGGACACCGGGGACAGGCGAGGACGTGTATCCTCCCAGCCCCGAGAATTGCGGTGAGAAATACGCCTTCGAACGATTGAAAGGTTGAAAAAACTCCGAACGGTGAATGTTAGGTTAGTAGCGATTCGCATGGGAAAACAGCTGACCTTTGAAAAGTGCGTTCGACCCGTGCACGATGTTTCACGTCCTCCATTGTTTGGAATTCCGTTCGGCCACTGGAAAAAAATCTATCGCTTTTATCGTTGTGAGAAATTTCTCTAGAAATTGTGAGATCGAGAAATAATTGTTATTAGGTTGGCTAGAAAATAATTTTGCTTAGGCCATCTCTACGAAAATTTAGCTCGTGTTATTGGATTATTTTGCTGAGGCAGCTTCAAGTTTCGGTGTCACTCAACAATTCAAACTTTTCTTTCAACGACATAAAACTTTTCGTTCCAGCGGGGCTAGGTTTCCCACTCAGTTTTTGACTTTAAAAATTTAATTTTCATGCCTTTGTGGCAGATGAGCACTCAGACAATTCACAGAACTTCCGCAGGACAAGTAAAATTTGCAGCGGTCCGGAAAATTCTATTATTGCAGAAGTGGAAACATTGAGAATGAGAACTTCTACAGAATTTTCACGTCAGATGGGTGAAAACAGGAACTTCCGCAGGACTTTTCAAAAAGCGCTGCGGAGCTTCCGGAAAAATACCAGCGGTTCCGCAGCACTTTGACATGGCAGTACTTCAGCAGGTTTTTTCTCTGACGATGTTGCCTCGCCAACAACAAGAGCGCATTATCGAACATGTCATCCGTAGTGCAAAACTAGTAAGCGAGTCTTGAAGTCGATAGAGCCAAGGTTCGAGTCTCGCTTAGGTTTCTCTATTGCCGTTGTGGTTTGCATTCTTCGGAACTTCCGCAGGTGACCCCGGAACCCTCTCAAACGTTCTGCGGAAGTTCCGGCAGTGGGCCGGCAGTTGTGAGTAGTTCGGTTATTGGGTTTACACGAACGTTCCCTTCTAAATAGAGTTGTGATCTGCTGGGATGAATTCCTGTAATTTGGAAGCCATGAGAAAATCGAGGCATTCTTTCAATGATTTCTAGATGGAGAAAAAATTACATAAACGAGTGTACCTGAAGGAATCTCATTGAATACTCTTTCCAAGAATAACCAAAAATGGACAAAAATTAGTCTGCTATATTTCTAGATACAAACCACCAAAATGACGGAATTATTCATAAACCAACCCAATAATTTACGAAGATGTCATTCAAGCAATTATTCAACCGTTATAGCAAAATAGGCGTAAAAATTCCTCTGCACTACAGAACATTTCACGCGAAAAATTTTTATATCCTCGCTCATCAGACTGCGGAGTGTAGATTGCAAGTTTTCAGTAACTTGCTTTTGCAATCAGTCAAGACTGAGTTGCAAGAAATTGCCTAAGAAAAAAGGAAAAGGAAAAGAAGAAAAAGTCCATGAGAGCAGGGTTATTTCTCGAAATAATCAGGTCACAAGGCGATAAAAAACTGCTGCACTTGATAAGCGAAGTGCTTTATTTACATATAGTCTCGACGAGGTTAGACGATAGTTCTTGTTCTTTGGATAGCTATTATCAAATCCGTTCTTTTATAGCTATTCATACAAAAACAAGCGAAAATTCACCCAAATCTAATAAGCAAGTTCTCAAATGACCTAAACACAGAGGGTGTCGGTTATGATTGAGTTAAGATATGATACTAAAAGAAGGGAGGGGGTAAAGCTGATATAAACCTCAAATGTTTGCTCTTCTGATATCAAGCATTCTGTTATTCAAAAAAGAATATAATGCTAAATATCAGTGCATCGCGAAATATTTATCGAGTGAGGGGGGGGGGGGGAGGGGGAATATGCAGAGGCTGAAATTTATTGTGGAGCTTCTCAGAGTTTTTGAACCTTGTAACCTGTAAAAAAACTATTATAAAAGGCAGTCTAACTGCTTCAAGGTATAACACTGTTTTACTCATCTATGAGTAGAATAAGCTGCTTTTTTTATAAATTGCGCAGATCACTATGTTTACTTGTATCACTTAGGGATCCCTGATTGGAAGTCAGTTTTCCTAAATCCAGAAGTTTTCGTACATCCACAGTTTGAGGATTGAAGGTTGATTTTGTTTGTAAAAAATATAATCTATTGGCTTCAACTAGTTTTCGTGGCAAAAATTTTTTGATCTGACATTTTTCATAGATTTTGGAGCTCAAAACAAAAAGTGAATGGGGAGACGAAACAGAAAGCAAGAGTCGAACTGGTCATAGAATGTTGCGATGAGCTATGCGATGAATTGGCAACAATTATCAACACAGTCAACACAGTCAACAACCTCAATCATCCTGTTTGGAGAAAGCAGCGAGGTGAACAGTCGCTAGAATCGAGAGATGAGGATAGGAGAGAAAAAGTGCATGAGCGAAAAAATAGAGGGACGAAAAACTGCTTGAATAAATTATGCAGAAATATCCAAACAGACTGATAGCAGAAAAAATTACAAATAGAAAAAACACGATAGAAGTTTGTAATAGTAACAGAATGAGTAACAACAAGATGTAATTTTGTGCTGAATAATGGATGCAAAATCCAGTTATAGAAGTATTGGCATCACACAAAATCATTCATATGCGGGATATACAAAATTAAGGGAGAAAAATTTCAGCTACGAGATTATGATATAAACCTAAGTATGCTCATATGCGATGCTACCGAAGACAAAAAACGTGATTTTCATGACGGTATCATCATCAAGTTACTGTATATAACTAAAATAAACTACGCTTGAACGATTCTGAAGTAATAATGGAAGTTGAAAATTGCAAAAAGAAAAACATGCAGATGCCGACATTTGCAGCAAAAGCGCAGAATTTTGAAAAAGAAGCGTAAAGGAAAAAAAACTGAGGAAAGCCGTGTATTAAAGGGTTTCCTCTCCCAAAACGGTGATTGTAAGAATACGAATAACTTATATTTAAACTCGGACTCATTCATTTCAGAAACACTAATCTAAATAAAATCAAAATTCGAAAAAATTGAAATTCACACTTTCAATCCAGTTGGCACAAGTTTATCTTAGTAAAAAAGAGTGAGGTCATAAAGTTTTTGTTGAAAGTAAATAAGAGGCTGTAGATCCCCATATTTCTAGCTATTGAAAATCAAAAAAAGATTTATGTATATCATCAAAGCATGGAAACCGCATGTTTCTCTTTCTATCTGGTATTATATCGAACGGATTCATGGATGGAAGAACTTACAAATTTTTTTTGATAAATGTCGTGCAAGACTTGATTCCGATAAAATAATTCGCGAAATTTGGAACTCTGAAGACGTATACCTTCAAGCAGCAAAGATTCATTGAGGAACTTTGCGTAAATAGCTGAGTAAGAATGAAAGCGAAAGATTCGACTCACTCGAAAGCTAAGGACAACTTGGAACCTGATCCAAGAGAAGGACTTGAGAAGCTTTCAAACCCCCACAAGCACTTGTGCAGAAAGCGGCATTTGCTGGATGGAATGGTGAAAGAAAATAGAAATGCGTGCCACTAGCAGTGAATGCAGCAACTAGTTCACGGTTCAGTTTTTCCGGTAAACTCCCATCGATTCATCATTATGCATTGAAGAGCACACGAGGTGGAGAAGAGTTGTTCGACCGTGTGTTCGTACTTTCCATGCCGAGGTGGGCCCGGGCAACAAGGCAAAAACTGCACCTCGTGTACATTGTTCGGACTTTATTGCATAATACGCATTACAGAATATGTGAAGCGACGGATCGTAACGACGATATTGGGGAATGGGAAAAATTGTCTGGGATGGGAGAGGGACGTATAGGGCATTGCAGCCTTTTCGCAGACCTTGGCAAGAAAAAGCATTGAAAACTTGAATAATCAAATCATAATAAACAATAGAAGTCATTAAAACCAACCTCCAGCAAGCCAAATCCCGCTCTTATCAAAAACCAAGATTCGAAATCATTACTATTACCTAGAAAAAAGTTTCAAACATTTTCGAGCTCAACTATTTAGAATCTAAAATACAGCATTGGGGATGTGTGGTTGTTTTCTCGTATATGTAAAGCAAGTCTGAGCGAGTGATGAGTGCACAATGGGGGCGGAGCTAGCCACTTTTCAATTACCAGTAAAGCTTGTCATGTCCAAAGGTTCGACGCATTTTCAATTACGATTCAAACCAAAGCAAAAATTCCATTAAATCTCATTGTTATAAAACTTTTTCGTGAAAACGAGAGAGCAATAAAGTTGCTACAAAATTGCTGATAGCAAAATCAACATTAAAATTGTCTTCTTTTATTGCCAAAATATCTAGAAAATTTTTTTCATGAAGTTAGAGGGAACCAAAGAATAAATTCAAAACCCTACACATTTGGAACATTTGAATATCAAAAAAAACTTTATCCCTTCTTTCCCTCCCTCTTATCCCTTCCGTCAACGATGATCGGGTTAAAATATATAAATTCTAAGAAAAAACTAAAACAAACAAACATGTTTGAAAGGATGTAAAAAATGACCAAAATCTACTATGTTCAACAGGACTTTAGAAAACCATTTCTCTCACAGCTTACTAAAAACTTTGTGGGTGTAACCCGGAAGAATTTCGCTGAATCAGAGGGTGGGAACGAACGAAATGTGCAAGTGTCATAGGGGTCTGTTCCCAAACACCCCGCGCACGACCCGCACTAATCGATGTCGCCCCGTGAAAATCGACTACCAGTAAATTTACCTTGAACAACTTCAAACAACGACTGTCTCGCGAAACGACCTGATTCTTGACGCGAAAAAAAAAACTGTCTGCGAGATTTTGGTGATGTCTGATTGAGAAGAACAAAGATAATACAAGAATAATGGTGACATCCAAAGGCGTGAAAAAAAAACCATTTTCGGGTAAATGTTGAAGCCAGCATAATCTCAAAAAAAAGGACTTAACGTTGTAAGAAAATAATCTACTAGTTCGATGAATAAGTCTTGCATCAGAATTTTTGGGGAATCTCCTCTATTCTGGTGGAGTTTCTATTGGTCTAAAAGCAAAGACAGTTGTTGCCATGAGAAACGAGAATAGTTTTAGTTTAGAGCTACCCTTTCTATTAAAAGAGTCTTGAGTAGTTGGATGTCCTTACAAATATTTACGGCTTTTCAAGTTTATCAAAAATTTTCAACAATTTGGGTCGATTTTTCTGATTATGAAACAAGGACAAAGTTTGGTCATTGATTCGATTTGTTAACATTTTCAAGGAAATTTTTAGAAATTTTTGGTGCAAGTCTTTATAGCAACTTATACACAAGATGCAATGCAAAAGAGTATGAAAGAAATTTTGATTTACATGTCATATAAGCGGCTTTTCAAGTGGCATAGCATATCGCACTTGATCAAATTCAATTGCACCACATTATCACAGTTCAAAAAGCGACAAAAATGTAAATATACACAATCATTGTGAATATCAACATCAAAGATCATACGCACTTAAATAAAAAAGCTGCACTTGAAAATGTTCACATGTTTTCGATTCGATAGATCTTCGCAAGATAACAACCAATTTTTCCAAAGAAAAGATGTCGGAAAAAGAGTGATTTTTCAGCTAAACAGGTTTATGGTGATTGAAGAAGACGTACAGCTGAGAGCTGTAAGCAGAGTTTTCAAACAAAAAAAGCACAAATTAGCCACCGACCCAAAAAATAAAGTAAAAGACTTTTCAAAACCTAGAAATCCGCATTATATTATGGGAAGATGAAGTCTATACAGTTTGTTCAGATTTGTACGGTTTATTTTGAAGGAAGTTTATTTTTTCGAAGGGGAAGTTATTTTGCTACAATTTTCGTTTTTGATTTTTGATTCCAAAAACCCGTGCAATTTTTGGAAGCAAATTTAGAAGTTATTTAGGAGTTCCGGGGAAGACTCAGAAAACAAGTCATACTCCGTCTAAGGGATGGAACGAAACGAAGTGAAAAAGTCACACACAGAATTTTCTCTTTCATTAGAATACCATAAAAGAGCCCTAAAATCTACAAAATGTTCTGGACTGAAAATCAATGTTTTCCATGTAGGAGAACACAGTGCATTTGGAATTCAAATCAGATCGCGCAATAAACCGGAACCGAATGTTCAGCCGAAGCACAAATAGAACACACACTCTTTCCCACTCCCTGCATTAGTGAATGCGCGACTGGAAAAACTTTTCAAGTTCTCTTTCAGTTGACGAAAATCTGATTTGTAAAGAGATTCGAGAAGATACGGAATGTTACTTAACTTTAGTAGGCAGTGTTGCAGCAAAAATCAAAGAAGAGAGGAGTGGAAATGATCTGATAGGGGAGGATGAACAAAATAAATCAGGCAAAAAAGTTTTTGAATAAAATGGTTACAAGCAAAAAAACAGATTATGATACGAGGATATGATGCAAGATTAGGATGCTCAAATTCAAAATAGCCGATAATATTCAACTTCATGATATTCAAAATTCATTTGATAATATGTAGAACTGTACCAAGAAGGACCAATAAGGAAAAGTGGTGATGTGTGACCAAGCACACTCCGCACACATTCGTCCAAAGTGAGTTATTCTAGACATATCCGTAAATCTAACTCAATCCTAAGGGAAAATACTAGACCGGCCTCTTTTAGCGGAATGAATAATCCAGTTTGTACATGATGGTAAAAAGCGACATAGCATGGACAACCGGCAGACAAGCTGAGCGACATCTGTTAGGACATACGATATTGCGAAGGTTTGTAAAAAGCATAGTACAGAGTAGAAGAAAGGAGGGGAAGGAGAAAGGAAGAAGCATGTAAGTTTACGAAGATAAGTCGATACAGTTTTACTTTGTCACATGACTTTTGCACCAAATTATTTGAAATTCATAATTTTTTCGAGTACTACCTTTGATCCAATGAATTGTAAAAAATAGAACTCTTAGAGTTGTGTAGATTTGAAAAAGAAATTTTGGCATTTTGCACCGATACAAAAAGTAACTGAACAGCAATCATGAGATTTCACAATTTCAGGTGAATTTTCCAAACATTTCTCAAGATTTTGTTTTACTTTCGATTACGGTAATGTAATCTACCCCTTTTTACGGTTACGTGACCTAATCTTTTCAACAGAGAAACGTGCTGAGTTACAATTTAAGAAAGTAGTCTTCGATTTTTTGCTTTGCAAGAAAACAATACATATAGTCACCGGTGACAGTACTAGAAATTTCGCGGAGGGAAGGGGGGAATTTTCGAAAAAAGAGCGAAAAAATTTTGGAATGCTTCCCAGCTTTTCTGTAAATCTTTAAGGAAATTTTGAAAAAAGTGAAGTGGAGCAATCATACATCTTTCCGAAATCTTCAAAAACAAAGCTGTTTGAATCTTGGAAACAACTCGATTTCAACTACTATCTAGAAGTAAAGGCAAGTTACTTGCACAGCTTTGTACATATCGGGTTACTGAGTCCTTTGAAATAAAATCCTCAGATTTTTGGTGCAAACTAGAAAACGCAAAAGAAAAAAGTTTGTAGGAAGGAAGAGATATAGGATGAGCAGAGAGTTCATTTTGAGAGGAGATTGAGGGGGGGGGGGGGAAAACAAAATTGAAAGCTTTGCAAAACTTTCCACGGTCAATATTGAGGAATTGTTGTACAAGATATACAAGACAAACTAATAAGAAAAAAAGCTCAAAAAATATGGAACATTGGCAAGGAAACTTACTTCAAGTCGCAAAGTACAAAAAAAGAAAAAAGATGAAGACAAGGCTGAAAATCATATGGCACTGCAACTAAAGCCAAAGAACTTTAGCGAAATGGAAAAATATAACTGTCACAGTAAAATTATGAATTTTACTTACCAGTATCGATATTTGCTGCCGATCGATAGCAGACCTCGAGGTGGGGCCAAAGGTGGGGCGATAAGCCGGAAGAAAGTATGATGTTCGATACAGGCCTTCCAAAGCAATTTGCACGCTGGTGACGAGTTGACGTGGAACGAAAGCACCGTGTCCGGGGTCTAAAAGCCTATACCCCTCAAAAACTAAAGTTGAAAAGAAAAAGACACCCACATTTTGATCGCCGAGCTTGATTTGGACGTAGAAATGTTTCTTCTTGAAGCTGATCTTCATTATTGTGGCCCAAGCAAACTCGTTGATTTTCAATCCTTCGTGAAAAATCACCATTCCATAGGAGTTCACTCCGATGCCAATCGGTAGACCTTTTCCATCCTGTAGTTGGGCATGTACATTTAGCAGCTAAACATAGAAACAATTGATATTAAAGCAGTTATTAATTAGGTCTTTTTTTCGATTATTTAGGTTTAAAACCCAAAATCGCAAAAATGCTTATTGAGAAAACCTTGAACCAAAAGAGACCATACTCCTAAAGCCAAAAATCGAAAAGAAAAAACCAAATCAATTAGGAATTTCTGCTAAAAGATCAGGCTAAACCAAGAAACAAGAAAAGTTGAATTTCGTTCTAGTGCAAAATTTGTAGAAAAATCTGATTTTTTTAGAGTTTCCCTTTAACGGCTTGTGTTACCGAGATATTACTATGATTATTGCAGGAGAGCTGATGATTCATTTTAGAAAAATCGTTGTTGAATATCTCCAAAATACAAACGTTTATTATTTTTAAAAATTTGATGCAAAACTTATGAGAACAGCTTAATAATAAAAAAGTGTAGCTTGCGAAAAAATAAAAAGTTTACAAAGAAATGCTGCACATTGTGCTAGATTTACCAAACAATAAAGTCGCGTCCATGAGAATAAATTTGGAAATAAAGCTCATATACATGAAAACACTTAAATAAAATTATTAGAATATTACCTTCGCCGGGAAAAGTTCCACACCATACATATCTAATCGCTTTGCATGATCAAGGAAGTTGAACTCGGCCTCTGCTGGACTTTGCCCTCTGTAAACGAGAACCTGATTTTTTTTGAATGCCTCAAAGTTTTCAAAACCCACCTATGCATAGCATGGAGCTCAGCAACCTTTTTAGCAAAGTCAGCCGTTTGTCCGGGAGCGAATCGGTAGTTGTCGAGGTAACCTTCCGGATGCTCTTCGGGGTTATAGTCGCCTAGTTCGGCTAAATCAACAAATTAACCTTAAAAATATATCTTATGACACGTATGGTTGACATCAGACACTCTTAAATCAAATTGATGTAACAAGCACCTTTTGTCAAATTTTTACGCTATTTTAGTAGCCAATTTACTGTGTGAACGTTAAATGAATTCAAATGACATAGGGGTAGCAACATAAGGAAATTTCCATTTCAGAGCTTTTGCAAAACTTAACATCTTAAGTACCTGGACAACCTTGAAAGAGAAATCTTGAAAGAGCACCTCTAAGTGAACTAATGGACGATACATTGAGTGCTTGTCGCCGGAATTGGTGCCTTTTTTCGTTTGGACGAGAATAAACGAACAAATTCCGCAAACAAAGAATGTGCAGGGAAAAAAGCAGGAAAACTTGATGGAGATGGAAAAGCGCCGGCGGTAGGACAAATTAGGCAACATTTGGAATGCGAAAAGAAGGAAGAGACTGGAATTCTCGCAAGTGTTGGGCGCAGATAGTTCCTTGTTTATTTGTAAGATAATTTGTCTACGGAAACTGGAAAAATAGGAAAGGGAATTGCTGATAATTGATGGGGAACATAAAAATGATTCGGACAATTTTCTAATTAAGAAATTCAAGTTTATGAGACTTACTGTACGAATTTTAGTAGCTCAAATGCAAACTATTAGGTTGGAAATTAAGTTTTGCAACTCATTCATTAACTTTCCTCTCACTCAGCATGGCGCACTCAAATTTTGCCACTACGTTGGCTATGATGTAAGCTACAAGCGCAGCTGCTATGTTCTATCAAATTCTGCCGTCGCAGTGAGGGTTACGGTAGGCATATGGTACAAAGAGAAAAATTGTAAAACTCAACAGATTCGGCTGAAACTTGGCATAGTGGGGTTATCCTACATGCTGATCACGAAAACGATACTGAAATTGCGTGCTAAGGGCTTTTTGTAGGATTACTGTAGGTGTACGATATGGGGTCCCACGCTAAACAAGAAAAGAGGAGTTGATTCAATAAATGAATATAATATTCGTGTTTAGCAGATCTAGGAACCTCAATATGTAAAGGCCCAGGGAATTCTGTGGTTCTAACTCCTTAGTCATAGAGATTTGTCCTCAGCGTACCTTGCGTACATGTTCGAATTTGAGAGGGCGCCGAATGTCGACTCGCCCCTTAATTTTATTTCTTTCTCATTGAGCAGAATGAGTCAACCTTTAGCACAATTGTACACGATTCTGGATTTTTGCGCATGGTTTAGGCTGTTAACGGCTTCATTTTGGCTTATAATCCAAAAAATCCTCAAAAATCATTAGTTTTCGAAAATGCCTGGAATTTTTCCAGCCGTTCTCAAAATTCAATCGGTTTATGGAGATTTGTAGCTCACATTACGCTCTATATACTGCCAAAGTTTGAGTGCGCTACATCTAAAGAGAGTTGAGTTATGAAAGTAGTTGCAAAACTTAGTTTCCAACCTAATATATTAAGCATTTTGGACTTTATCTGATCCCCCGTGAGGGCTATGGGACATATAAAATCAGGAAAAATTATTGAAACTCACACTGCACAGCATAGCTGGCCAGCAATGCCAAAGATCCTTCAGCACTAGGAAGGCGACCTTCAAGGATATCTAATCGAAGTTGGAGGTAGAAGTGATACCTATAACTTTGTATTTCTGATTGTTTGTCAAAAAGAGAGAGTGAGGAAGAAATGAAAAAAATGAACTTACCTAGTGTATTCCTCAGCGAGTTTGCTGGGATCGCTGACATAGAACTTGACTCGGAACAAAAGATGAAAAGGTGGACAAAGCATTTGCTTTCGGATGGACTTGTTCGGATCGAGCCATCGCTAAAAAAGTCGAGTTGTACGATAAAAAAACTAGTAAATAATCTATTCATGGTTAAGCACCTTATTTGCATAGTCATTATTCAAATATAGAATAAAATTCGTAATAAACAGAAAGATAACGAAATTTCCGAAAATTGAGTGTCTAAAGTTTTTGCATTTTTTCCCTAAAATCTGTTTGAAGACAAAGTTTAGACAAACCAGGATAACCTGACTATTTAGGTAAATTCCATAATAATTGTAGTCTAAGCAAGCCATTACTCAATTTGCAGCATTTATTCGTAGCAGATAAACTTGCACTCGCGCCCAGTACCGTACTTTTTCCGAGCGACCAATCATGTCGCTGAATGTGGTAATGAGCAAGTTTGAAGTGCCGACAGTTGCAAATGAATCATATGAGTTGCCGTTTAAAGCAATGAGTTATAAAACTTCCAATCAGCATCCAAAAAAGGCCCAGATATCAGATAAGGACACTTCCATTAAAGCAGATAAACGATCAAATGCTTACAAAATAAAAATAAAGCATAGTAATTGTTAGAAAAGAAATTCGGTAAAAAGTTTCTTGGGTCACATAAGAGGCAAATTGAATACATGGCCAATAGTTGAAATAATGTCAAAAAAAACATTAGCGATGGGCCGAAATTCCACAAAAATCTGAATTTTTCCAAAAATATCGCAAAAAATGTGGGTGTGCTCTATGAATAGAAGCTAGCAAATGAAACTAAAAATTATTTAATCACTCACCTTTTGAGTTTCCTTGGTTCCTAATACGTAGAGAAACTGCAGGCCGAAAAAATCCCTCTCTACTAGTTCCAAGTGTGCGTAGACCTTGTCCAACAGCACATAGCCGGCTGCCTGTCGCTTAAACATGCATGAATCAGTCACTGCCATTAATCAAGCAGAAAAAGCATCGGCTCAAGGCTTACATCGACTTGGAACTGGCGTTCGGTCCCATCGAGAAAGGCGACCGTGCAGGTGATCTCGTGCCGAGCCGTCGTCAGCAGCGACGGGTTCAGTCCTTCGCTGCGACGCACGTCGTAGCTGCCCGAACCGAAGCGCATACTTCCTCAGGTCATGAGGAATGCCGTTCTTGAACTAGCAGCCAGAATTCTACACTATACACTCTCTGAGAGCCTGAAAATCAGGAAGTCTGCTGGAAAAGCTTCAGTAATAAGCGATGAACATGGCAAGGACGATAGATTTGAGATAGGCCGGTGTGAAAGTTGCTATTTATCGTTCACGAGCCATAAAAGCGTTGACATATCGTAGAAGGAAATGAAGATAAATCAGGTTATACCTAGTGGAAGAAAAGAAAAGTGATGGAAAAAAGAAAACATGTTTTCAGTTCTTCGTTGTTCAGACGTTGTCGTAGAACTTATCGCGCATTAAAATGTAATATAAACCTGCAGAGAAGTCCAAAAAGTGACCAAAGATGCTCAAAATACTCTAAAACATATTTTTCATTATTTACCATTTGCTATGCATTCTTGAAATAGCATAGTTTTTTAAACAAAAGTATAATATAGAAAAGGTAGCTCTTTGTGGAGGCCCATGGAGCGAACTTTTTTGATTAAAATGAGTAGGAAAAGCAAACCAAACTCTGGTTCCCTAATTAGGATTTCCAAAAGCACCAAATTTCTGTACAAAACTTCTTTTCATTTGAAATTTATTGCAGAATCAAAGTGCACAAAGCAGGGACATTTAAACTCTCGAAAGTGCAGCAGTCGCTTCCGCTATAAATTGCAAAAGTGTTCATTACACATGTAGAACAAGCTTGTGTTTCTCGGGAAGGAAAAAACTTAGTCACAACTTTGACAGAAGTGCAAGAAGACATTCTCAAGAGAGGATGACACAATGAAAGTAGTTGTATAAAAATAAGTGAAATAAAAAGGGTCAAGTTGGACAAATACATCAAAAATAAATAAAACAATGTGAGTAAGGCTCTTGAGAGAAAAGACGTTTTTTAAGTCGTGAGAAAATGCCCTCTTCTTTTCATCCCTTTCACCGAAGCAGTTTGAACCAATTCCTACTTTGGATGGTAATCTGTGCAAATGTCCTCTCTTGATTGCAAAAGAAATTGGTATAGCGGATCTAATACTTTGTTTGAAGATGGATCTTATACCCACAAAAGGACCACAAAAGGGCCATCGATTCTTTATAAATTTCTATAAAATTCTTACATGACAGATCCCGACATCTGGAAAGCTAACTGTAAGATAGGAAGAATACTATAGAGATGTGGTGCCTACACCATATCACTCGGCCTATAATGATCCCACATGAGGACTAGAAGAAGCGCGTTAATGGGCACTTGTAACAGCGTCGTTTGCACTTTTGACGATTTCATATGATATCCAGCCGCAGTGTATATGATAGTTGTCAACGATTCTTTGGAACAACAGTGATGCTGCTCTGAGTGGGCAGCTGTGCAAACGTAAAACTCGGAAAAAAAAGAAGGAAAAGTTTGAAGGATCACAAGAAAAAGAACATCACTGCCAGCAGATACTCTATGAAAGTACTTGATAGTAAAAAATAACTTTTATAGCTATTTTCAGGACATGCAATTAATTAGTAAAAAGCAAAGAATAGAGGCCACAAGTGATGATGCGAACACCTTATTACCTGCATGAGCACAGAGGAAATTTCAATCATAAATTATTTAGCACCATTAGATTTCAAGAAAAAACAAGAACATACAAATTTCTAGCACTGGAAATAGCTAGATACGCCTAAGTAAGTGGAAACGCTATCAGGGGGTAACGATGAAAGATCTAGGAGCTTATAAACCGAACTATAGGACTTGAAGACAGAAAAAACGAAAATTGTGACCTGTAGTATTTTCTACACAAGAAGAGTCAAATTTTTTAGACGAACGAAACGAAAGCGATAAGTTTAGATACTGTGTGATATTTCTGACAAAATTTTTTTTATCAAAATGGTCCATAAGCCTGGAAAAATGTGAAAATAATGTGTTTTCCTGTTTCCGCACACCCGTTTCAAAAAATAGAAGTGCATGTTATCATATACTTTTCTTTACAAAATTGTCGATCTTATCGTACACATTGGGCAACTTCAATCCGAACAAAATTAAAAAGTCATACAAAAGACATAGCGACACTGTTTGTAAAAAATTTGATCAACACAAATTTCGGTCGAAAAAAGTGAATCCTACGGTTAAACCGAAATCAAACCACATTTTACTGTGTTTAATCTTTTAGAGCATTTTTGTGACTAAATTATGAAAAAAAATAGAGCATCAGTAACTTTCTTCCCACGTATAGCGTGGTGATTTGTTGATTTGGTTTTTACTATAAAAACCACGGAAAAGCGCATTATAGGTGCCTTTCACTATAGTGAACCAAACGAGTTCTTTGGAAATGGACGAAATTTAAAATTTACAAATTATGATGGAAGATTTTAGACAAGCGAATCTACCAAAGATCTCATTCACAAGAAGAGATTTTCCCGTTTCAACACGTACACAAATATGAACGTCAAGGAAGTCGACGTTGACTTTGTGGTATATGGTAAGCATGGAAGCAACATTGCTGTTATTAACAGTCGAATAAAGCAGTGCGCTCAGTTCACTTTAAGAAAATGGTAAGGGATTCTAGTCTCAGATTAAAAGAATTACAACGATTCGAATATCTCGCAATGACTTTACAATATTTGAGAAAAAAACTAGACCGCTACGTACATATGGTCAAAAAGTCTTACTTTTAGCCGCAAATGACATCGTTTATTGGCGTGGGGATAAGCAAGCGGAAATCAATGCGCAGCACACCGCAAATAATTCACGGAAATAGGGAAAAGCCGTGTGTGAGCAACGGTGTTTTGCAACGGAGCTCGCGTCGAGACGATTAGGTCAGATGAGAGTGTGCGTCGCGTCGTCAACGTCTAGTGCTCGGCGCCGAGCCAAACTTGGAGCACCGGAGGGGAGAAGGTTTCATTTGAGGAGAAAAATCGTTTTTGTACATATAAAATAACTTTTTGCATGATCTTGACAGATATTTCCTGATTAAATGGACCCTATTTGAACGGAAAAAGTTTCCTGTTTCGGCACATCTACTAATAATCTGATACATCACTGAACTTGGTAACTTCGAAACTTTCGAATCCTGTGCACAGCAGAGATTTGCCGTTTCAAGCGTTTTACAGATCAAAAACTCGTCCACAGAAAAAATTCCTGTTTCAACGCACTTACATTACACAGCTAAAATATACAGTTGCATTTACTTGAACCGCGAAATTTTTCTGTTTTAACAGATTTACGAATAAAAAAGTTGAGCCAAGATGTTTTGAAGCTTGTGCGCAGCAAAAATTTCCTGTTTCAACCGTTTCACAATCAAAAATCTCGCACACAAGATAAATTTCCTGTTTCGACGCATTTACATATGGAAATCTCATTTGCAGAGTAAAATTCCCCATTTTATTGCATTTAGAAGAATTTAACCTACACAGCAAAATTTTCCCGTTTCGACACATCTACAAATAAAAAAGTCAAGCCTTGGTTGTGATATAACTGTGTTATGAATCTTGCACTAAAGTTTTCAAAGAACTCCTCGAAAATTGTTTCGAAAACTATTTGATTTAGTCAATGTTTTTTCTTTTTATGATAAATACCGTACTTCATTTTTCATATCGGAGGCTTTATTGGAACGAGATCGAAAAGTGGGGAGACATGGGAATAATTTCTCGTGGAGTCGTGCGATTGGCGAAAGTTTTTTTCTAAGCAGGATGAGTAAGCTACGAAATTATATACAAGAGTTATATAATTTTTACTGGTCTTCCAACATTTTTAATAATTTAAAATAGAAAAATACAGCTTACTTTAGCAGCTATCAAGAAATCCAGCAATTTTAACTTCTGCATTAAGCACTGCCTTGAAGCCTTGCCTCTACAACAATTCTCAAACTTCACTATTCATTAAAAATGAAGGATTTTAGGAGTTTCCAAACGATTTGCTGGAAGGCTTATAAGACATCCTAAAATCTGATTTACATTTTTGTAGCGAAAACTTACAGTTTCAAAACATTTACAAATGAAAAAGAACTCCCCTGCTGCGCTGCGGGAATAGCGTATGTGCTTAAAAAGAAAATCTATACGAAAGACTTGCAACCAAATCAACGAACTCATTTGTTCTCTGACAGAATTTTTTTTCTTCCAGGGTAAACTTCGCAGATTCATTGACCTTACAATGAGACTACTTTACAACATCGATCAGACACTCTGCGACACTTCGTTCCCATTCTTTACAGCGAAAAAAAAACTCTAACTGCAAGGCGCCTAGAAATTCTTTTCTTTTGCCTAGTCACATTTTCACGAAAATTCCGAGTAGTTTAGAACAGAGATGTAATACAAGTGAGGCAAAGCTATGACAATCGCTTCAATATTGACATAATTGTCAAATAATGGCTAGAACGATGTAATGATGTATTGTTATAAAAACAATGACGAGGAAGTGTGTAGATGTAGTGCAATGCTGGATTAGAATATTGATTTTCACTGCGATGGTAGAAATATTGGTCTAGAGTGCAATTTTTGTTGTTTGATTTGGAAAATAAGTTGCAAAATCATAGAATTGCAGCATTGCCATCAAAAGAATGATAAAAATTTGATAAATTTTTGATGGCTTTTTTCCGAAACCATTCAGAGGAAAAATCCAAAGTGCAAGCCTCCAACAAAATTCCAAGACTAGCCTATGAAAGGAAAAGCAATTCTCATGCTGAACTTCGATTTGTAATCTTACCAAAAAATATAAAACTTTTCATGTCTATCTTAGGACTTCCAGTAAGGAAGAGGGACTCAAAGCAACATAAAAAATTCTTTTATCAGGATGATAAAGTTTTTGAACTTGTGAAAGCTCCTAATTGAAGACTAGACCAGATTTTTTGCGATTTTTTGCTTGGAATACACAAAAGAGACCATTGAAAGCTAGTATTTGTAGATTGAAACGTTACTGTATATACCTTACACTTTATGGAAAAGAGAAAAGAATTGTGTAAAATTCTAAATCTCAAGAACCAAAACAAAGTGATGGCCCACAGAATATCGTATAAAATCTTTATTACTCATACTCAGTTTTATCAGTAAAGATCTACAACAAAGCCATTTATTGAGGTTATTTATCGAATTATTATG